GTACTGGTCTGACCTTGATGGAGATGCTGAAGTGCTCCCAACCCCCTTAACCGGTCCTTACTGGTCCCACCGCCCCATTCCCCATTCCAGTGACCTGTACTGGTTTATACTGGTCTATACTGGTCTATACCGGTCTATACCAATCCATACTGGTCTATACTGGTCTGACCTTGATGGAGATGCTGAAGTGCCCCCAGCCCCCTTACCTGGTCCTTACTGGTCCCACCACCCCATTCCCAGTTCCAGTCACCCGTACTGGTTTGGTCAGGCAACTTCATAAACCAGTGTCTTACCCTGGCATTGAGACTTGGGAAACCACAGAGAACCCTGATTCTAAGTCTGAGGAGAGAAAGAAACCAGGAGACTTTGAAGTTCAACTGATGTTTCTACAGTCTCCCAGCTTTCCTCACATTATTGAAAATAGAGCGAGTGATCCCTGTGATAATGAACAAAGGGAAGATTAGTCTTTACCTCCCTCAAATTCCTTTCTGCCTGAAACTGAATCCACTAAAAAACCTTGGACTCAACAAGAGAACCTGACCCGGAAAACAACTCAATTCAATCTGATTCAAGTGGCTAAAGAGCAGAAGCATTATGGCCATAAGCCTGGACAAATTAAAAGCCAACCAGTGAAATCGTATCAATATATCACATACCTTGGGATTCCACTTGGTTCTCATCAACAGTTAATACAATTTCCAATGGATATGGGGACACAACGTTCACAGCAAAATGCCAAAGCTGGGATTAAAACCCAGACGAAAAGGTGTCACTGGGTATCTGTCGAAGGGTCCTGGTCCGAGGGGGGAAGAAGACACACAACACACACGAGGGAGTGAGACAAAGAGATGTCTGCCTGCTCAGCGCAGCAGGCAGCCTTTTATTAGGTTCTCCTACTTCTACTTTCCCAACCAAACAAAAGAAACGTATTTCCACAAAAACACTGAGGAATGCGCACCTGCACTTCAGCCACACAACTCATAGTTCTCATGTGTCCATGGGAACTACCTAGTTAGCTTCACTACTCCCATGGAAAACGGCCCAACACTTTGTAACATTCTAAACCCCTCAAACTTCAGTTGTGGGGCTGTGACTTCACCCCACAATTCCCCCTGTCTGTAATTGTGCTACAAAGACTGCCCGCATCGTATCCTGCAGGGCCCTTTGCAGGAGCGATACTAAACAAGGCAGCATCAGCAACACAACCACAACCATCAACACTACTGTGGTGGTTTGGGCTAGGCCTTCCTTGGTGACCAGTTTGTAACCAAGGAATGGTCCAGCTTTACCCAGTATTCCCTACCATTTTTACGTAAACCAGATTATAAGAAGAGAGGAGGAGAGACCTTCGCTCTCTTTCCTTCCGGCGGCTTGGAGGTGCAGGTTCCCTGCTGTTGAGTCTGCTGTGTTGGGGAGCGAGGCCTGGTTAGGCCTTGCCGACCTTGGGAGACAGAGGTTGCCGGCGATCGTTCCGGAGCGACTCTCAGTTGTCCCAGGGGAGTAGTGAGCTATTTTCTTTGCTAACTTTTTTTAGTTGTTAGATATTGGGTCACTAATTGTGATATATGTATTTTTTATTTTAGTTTTGTTCCCTTCCCCCTTCCCTTTCCCTTGTGAAATTGTATATTTTAATTGTATATAAGTGTAAATATATTTATATATCTCACTTTGGTTGTCTCTCTCGTTTCGGGTTTTCTTAGTTTTTTTTCTCCCTCTTCTCCCTGAGGTTTTTTTTAGGGGGGGGGGACTTCTGGTGGTAAGGTTTGGAGACTTGGCAGGGAGCCAGCTTCAAACCATTTCAACTACCAAGCATCCCGTTTTGAAAAGTGAAGCTAACCAGCTAGGTATTCCCCATCTGCCAAACCAGTTCTCCAAGCCAAAAAACTCAGTGCTTTCTTTGATCTTCTGAGCTGCCGCCTGCAATACAGCAATGCTTCTATAAATAGACTTAGAATGATCTGACAGATTCATACAACACATCCCATTAAAGTCTTGACACCCATATCCGTGGACTAGAAGTAAGAAATCCACGGCTGCTCTATTTTGTAATGTTGCATGTCGGACAGAATTCATGTCAGTGGCCAGTTGGTACAATACTTGTGAAGTTTTATTGACTTGCTTCGCTACCCAGCAAGCCATATGATTTAAAGTGCTTAAGGCCTTAGCTGCAGCTGCCCAAGGGAGAACTACGGAAGCAGCCACTCTCTGTCCATAATTCCAGAGCAGTATGTTATCATTACGCTGTTCATTAAGGTGTACTGCCCTGCGGCTTCATTGATGGAGCAACGAGTGATTAAGTAGTAGTCTGTGAGCGGGTATCAACAACCCCAACCTTCCAAATGTACAAGGTCCCCCTATTGGCTGTGCAGGGATTCCTGGCTAGATTCTATCTTCACACAGAAGAAACACTCCCGTAGGGAGTCGAAAAGGTGCACTCACTGCTGGAGTACTCCAAGTTGGATTCTCACCGACACCAGAAGGAACTATTTCTATAGAAAGACAGTTCAGGGAACACATCCCATACCATAGACTCACCACGTGCTCACCACGTGCTCACCACGTGCTATGTTATAACCCACACGATGATTAAAATACACACAGTCTTTTACAAACAGTGACTCTAAAATACCTAACTTTTGAAGTGGAGTGTTAACAGACAACACATCATCCCAGCTATCAACACGATCATGACACCCGCGCACAGTATGACAGTCCTGTTTCAATAAAGTCATGCCGCCGGACAACATCCTGCACCAGGAGAGATGCTTCCGTGTCACCCAGAGGAACACCAACAAGACAGGTGAAATGGCTGCTCTGGATACGCCAGTGATGCACAAAAGGTCGTGTGATTCAGTTCCTTCATTAGCGTCACCCAGATGTTTCGACTATGCCATGGAGTGAACTTTGACAGGTCAGGAACTGCACTGACAACTTCCAGGACCAACAGCAGGACGTACATAGCACGCAGGTATTCAGCGAGGACTATTATCTGTAGAGGCAAACATATCCCTTTCCCCAAGTTATCAAGTCATGTGGATCAGACCATTGACCAGAGACAAGTTCTGCATCTGCATGCTGTGCTCTGTCCTCAGCTCTCACAGGGATTACAAGATTATCAGTTTTGAGGAGGCTTTCTGCCAAGCACAGCATATTTTTCCTAAAACTCTAAAAGAAGGTAAATAAAGACAATCGCCAGAGAAGGTCAAAAAGTTTGAGACATACAGAGCTTTGTCTAGCCTAGAGACTGAGGGGGTTATCCCCTCATTCCCCCTCTCTGTTTTGAAGCAATTGCTTCAGGGCACCATACACTCTTCACAATAACGTGTCCTGTAGAAGAATGTGAAACAGCCGTAACGTGAGTAATCCTCCACAAAGCAAAGAAAATTTGCACAGATTTACAGACATAAGACAGCTTATTGTTCATTCGCACTTGAGTGGGTGCTCCAGATGTAGTAAAAGCACAACCAAAGTGTTTAATGACATCATGGCTTTTTTGTCTAGTATGTGCATTAGCAACCACCACATGGGAAAACATGTCAGTGGACACATGGACATGCTTTAAATTACCAAATTCATTGACATGAGTGTCATCCGACTGCCACATCTGTAAGGCCTTAAGGCCTCGAGGGTTAGTATCAAAATAGACAGGAGTAGAGGCATTATGGCACTCTGGACAAGAGGCAACAATTAAGCGAGCAATAGAATGAGTCAAGCCAAATCGACATCTGAAAGCTTCTGCACCTTGATAATAAAAAAACCTAACGAGACAAGACAGTTTGGTGGTGAATGTTAGGAAAAAGTCTCATAGCAACAGCAAAAACAAAAGCATCTGCCCGGGCATTACCCTCTATGAAGAAACCTCGGAAAGAGGTATGACTACAAACGTAGCACAAAATAAGGAATAGGCCTCTGCAAAAGAGTTCTCTAGAGCTCGAACAAAACTTGAAAAATAAGACCTGGAGATGGACAATACAACACCGCCTGATAGAGTTGCTGTAATAAATTAACAACATATGCAGAATCAGTAATAATATTTAAAGACCGAGTAGGAAATAACTGAAAAGCAAGAGTTACAGCTCGACGTTTCACAGTTTGAGGAGAACCCTCTTGATGAACAATTTGATGATGTCATCCACATTCTGCTTTCCACTCTACCGCAGTTTCACTTGTCTTCCTCGAGCTGTCCGCAAAGACTGTAAGGCCATCAAGGGGCTCTGCGCTGTGTAGTGTTTTTGTCCAATTGGAATTGCCCTAAAAAAAATCTTAATAAGGGAATGTGAAGGTAAATGATAAGAAATTTGGCCGTGGAACCCAGCTAAAGCAGCTTGCAAGTCACATTTGTTTTCAAGGCACCACTCAAAGTAACGAGATTGTACAGGTACAACAATGCATGCTGGATTTCTGCCAGAACACTCTACACACCTTTTTGTAACCTCAATGATGATTTGAGCTATGAGCTCAAACAATCCAGGAGCAGTTTTTGAGCCCGATAAGGCAAAAAAAATAGCCACTCTATGATGTGCAGTAGATCAGACCAATGGTCAAACCACTGTACCAATGCTCCAAAAGGAACACTGTGATCTGCAAAAATAAAAAATTAGACAATTTAGCAATGATCAATTAATGAAACAAATTTAGAATATAAAACCTGCTCTACTTGCTGGATGGTTTGAACTGCTCTTTTAGTCAGTTCCCTTGGTTCCTGAGGATTGTCAGAATGTTTGAGTAGGTCAAATAGAGGTGCCAGTTGGGTGTTTGCCATTTCCAAATAGGACCTAACCCAATTGAAAGACCCTAATAGCTTTTGTACGAGAGTAAGAATTCTTGACATCAATATCCAATTGAACTGGCTGAGGAATAACTGCTTTCCGTGTAATTTTTGAACCCTAAATACCTCCAGGATTCCTCTCGCTGCACCTTCTCAGGAGCAACTACTAGGCCAAAGGATTGTAGACTCTTTCTGGTTTCAGCTTCCAGCACACCCAACTGATCCTCAGTGGCCACAGCCAGCAAAAAGATTACCTATATAATGACAACAAAAGACAGCCAGAAAATTACAGGAGATAATGTTGGAATCATAAACCACTGACAAATTATAGGAATATCTTCATTTCCTGGGAGAGGGTTTTCTATGTATAACACTTGTAAGGTTCTGCACGATTAATAGATGGAACTGAAAATGTGATTTTTTTCCTTCTCTATAACTGGGGTCTAACTGGATTGTGAAAAAGCAACCTGTCAAATTAATAATAACAATGGGTTATTCAGCAGGAAGCATAGAAGGGGTCAATAAACCAGTGCTGACATGGTAACCATGACCGCCCTACCCGTCTGAGATCATACAACAGTCTCCATTTCACAGATTTTTTCTTTATCACAAAGACAGGGGTAATGAAAGGATTCTGAGATGGTTCAATGTGATCAGCATCAAGCTGGTCTTTAACAAGCTGTTGCAGAGCCAACAGCTGTTCTGTAGGTACGAGCCACTGCTGAAATCACACAGGATCTGTATGTTCTAAAAGAAAATTCTGAGCAGTACCTCCCAGTCTCACAACCCAAACCTCTGGCGTGACCACAGGCCAGGAGGCCGGCCAGGATGTCCGTGCAATGATAGTTACGTCAGGTCCCGAATGCAGAAGTTCGTCCGCCTGGACAACGGACAGCAAGCTTCAAGTATCGTAGAGAGCGCAGGTCAGCTGTGTACGTTGTGCAGAGATCGGCACTGACCAAAAGACTTGTGGTCCATCAGTAGAACCAAATCCTCCATCCCGACGCTCACAAGGCTCTGCTTGGGGAACACAACTCAGAAAAGATACAAATTGAGCTATTCGTGTCCCTTTAGGAATTGTCACTGAAGGATAAGGTGTGGAGACCATAGCACAAATCTGCCTCGTATAGGTAGCATCAATGACTGCAACATGAACAAAAAATCCCAAAATCTCGCAATTGTGCTACTAGAATGGTTGATTAACAAGACACTTAACCTACGCTGCCTTTGTACAATGCTAAACATCCACCAGTCAGATTATGTGATCAATGCATCTGGTATAGAACAATCAACAGTCACAGGCATTGAGGACATTTTTCTGAAAACACAGTTGCAATAGGCAGGGCACGTCCCAAGGATGAAGAACTAGCTGTTTTACGATGAATATTGCCACCAGCTGCTGCATGAAAGGAGCCCTGAAGAGAAGACACAAGGACTCCCTGAAACGACATCGCAGCCCTGGCCACACTGATCAACATAAATGGTGTACTCTGGTCTCCAATCAGGAGGCCTAGAGACACACTATCTGTAACGCTGTTGATGATTCTGAGCAAGGACGCAGGATGGCCCTGACAGTCTGCAGGGCCCCCCTGCAACAGGTTGATCAAGCAGGGCAGCAACATCGATAACCCTTGATTTAAACCCTGGAAAACACAGAAAAGTTCAAACGACCCTGCCTCCTGCACAGCCCACACAGCTACAGCCCATGGGCAGCACAACACATGAAAAAGGAACAGCACCAGGGGAAAGGCTCTACCTGAGATTTAACCACTATAAACCTCTGAAAGAAGGCTGAAATAGAACACCAAATTTGTGTAAGAACCTCTTATTTAAGTTCAGTCCTGACCAAATAGCTAGGCAGACAGGGCTAGTCTTGAAATAACTAAAACCTCACCAGTTTTCATAAGAGTGGAATTACTCATGGTGGGAATTTGAAGAATTCATATACCATTCAGCATAAGGAGTCACTATGGCTCAACAGAATCATGTTACACATCTCTGTAAAGTCTTGACACCAGCAGAAAGTATCTTTAAGTTTACACAGTTACACATTCATGTAGCTTTTCTCTTTCACACAATCTTTTTCCAGTCATACATAGGTGGCCACCTCAGTCATGCATCATTCACACACACATTGTAAGTTGTTACTAGCTGTGTAGTCCTCATCAGTCTCGTAACTTAAAGGGAATTTAAGGCATATTTGCTAATATTAACTTGTAAATCTTGTACAATTCTCCATGCAAAAGACAAATACGACAGAGACAGGATATTACCTTGAACATTTTCAACCTTTTTCATAGAGCAAGGACACTCTATTTGTCATAACGGCAACAGAACCACTGCTGAATTTTGTCGTCCCTTCTTCACCTCTTCTCGCCCTCTGCCCCCCCTGCGTCTCCTGTTTCTCTTGAGCACTCAACCCCCCTGGAAGCAAGTGTTGCTTCCCTAAGGGAGCTTTCACTAGCATTTGTCAGAGGATGGGGGAGAGGGAGGGAGGGAGGGGGAGAAGGGGGAATAGAGGTTGGGTCTTTCGGAGAAAAATCAGGAAGAGAAGTCAAATTGCCTTTGCTCTCCTTATGTCGCAAGTTATCTACATGGTCTGCTGAGAAAGAACGATATACAGGAGGGAAGGAACAGCTGCATATGGACACGTTCCGGGGAGGAGGAAGAGGGGGGGAGGCTCGGGGGGGGTGTAAGACAGGGGAGAATACAGACAGCCCCCCCACTGCACCGCCTGACACCGCGGCCGCCATTACCATCCTGCTACCCCCTCGCAACATCGCTCGGAACCATGACTGTCGGCAGCGCGGGGGAAAACAGACCCCCCCACCCCCCGCCATCCGCTGCGCCGCGGCCCGTGGCCGCCGTTGCCAGGGCCGCCGCCGGCGCATGCGTGGGTGTACCGCTCCGAACCGGGGCCAGGGCCGGGGCCGGGGCCGCTCTGGCCGGAGCCGGCGCCTGGGACCGCAGCTGCGACCAGTCTGCTGGCACCCAGAGCCGCGGCTGCTGGGGCCGCAGCACGGCTGCCGCTGCCCGCGCGGGCACAGATGGACTCGGCGGCGCCGAAGCCGGACCCGGCGCCGCTCCGCAGGCACCCACAGCGGGCGGACCAGACACGGCTGCACAGGCACCCGGCGCCGGGTACACAGGCGCGGTACCGTCCGGAGGAGACATAAAAAGCTCCTGAAGGTGAAATTTAGCCACTATGGTCACAAAATCGTCTCCCGGGCTGTTATAAGTAAACTGAGGAAATTTGCTGCTCAGAATGAGAGAGAGTTAATGAAGTTACTATGTTGTATGGATTACTCTGTTAGAATCATAATTTGACAGGTTGCATAATGCCTAACCACAAGTTCCTTAAACTTATAAGCTGATTAACACAACGCAGGAATAATTTGACATATTTTAAAGATGTTTGTCCTAAGTGTGACAAGAGGAACCCGTATGGAGGGGTGGATCACGAGGAGTCCAGATGATCAGTAACCGTCCTCATGGAAATTTCCAGGAGCATGGACACATAGAACTCAATGACTTTGATATCATTGGTGGACACCCCTCAGCAACAACAATTGCCCGGGAAAGGAGAAACCAACCCCAAGCCAGCCCGCAAAGAGGGAACCAAGCAGGATGCAGCCCACAAAACTTCCTCCAATGGACTAGTGACATGACTATGGGGGGAGGTGACAACAGAGGGTATAACTAGTGCTGTTTTTGTTCCCTTTTCGTGGACCGCGGTTGGAATTGAGGTTTCCCCCGGTCGCCCAGCTAGCCGTTTTTGCTTGTTGGAATTAATAAATTTTTCTATTACCTTGCAAATCAAAATTCTAGCCTCGTTTCATCGATCACAATTTGGTGCCGTGACTCGGATAAAGACCCCTGGGTGGTAGAACCACTCTCCGGGGAGGGTACCCCCATCCCATTTTTGGACGGCCCTGGGAGATTCTATTACTCAGACTCTTTATACCGACTGATTTATTAAATCCAAGCAAGCAAAAAGAAGTTCCTGCAGATCTCCGTAATTCCTGCATGTGGGTCCGGACAACGTCCAGCTTAGGGAGAAGCTCGGACAGGTAATTTGGGTAGGCTCAGTTTGTGGGCAGGATAGCTGACCTAGGGAGAGGCAGTTGTGTAAATCGTCCGGTTGGGGAGGTCCGCTCCAGTACCTGGTGTGGTGCTGCCGGAAAGAGCGAAGACTCACTTGGAAGAGGTGAGTATTGCGAGCCCCCTTGGCGGTTGGGAGGGGGTCCTGGGGTGTGCCTGTATGAGACGTTCTCTGAGAACGAAGCGATTGTGGACCCCTAAGTAGTGCGGTTCCTGTCGCCCGTGAGGGAGCAGGCCACAAACAGGGGGAAGCGTTTGTGATTTGTGTGAGTGCGAGTGAGAAAGAAGGCACCCCAGAAGATGAGATTGGGGAAGAGCACGGCTTCCTCACCCATGGGAGGCTGTAAGGTAGAGCAGCCAGATGGTCCCTCTGATGGGGAAAGACTTCTGAAGTCTAGAAGTTCCTGGGGAAGGGAAGGATTCGGAAGTAAAATGAGGAACTTAAAAAAGGACCCTCTGAGGGAAAGATGGTCTGCGCTAGGCAACTGCAGCTCTCAGGGAGAAAGGAATCTTGTGGTTAGGGACTTGTATACTGGAGAGGAAGATAAATCTCTGAGTGAGTTAGGGAGTAATTTACAGGAAGGAAGAAAGCTTAAAGTAAGCGGCTTTGAGGCTAAGTCGCAGGGGATTCCACTGGACAGCCCCTTAGGTTAAGAAATTGGAGCAGTTATCCACATACTTTCGGCAAATCTAGAGAAAAGATGGTCTATTACTGTATTGAAGTATGGGGAGACAAACAAATAGGTTCAGGTGGTGGAGATGTATATTGGCCAGTGTACGGTTCTTTTGAGAGACGGATCTGTGAGATCCTTAACTGGCATGTTAGCGGCAAAAGACCCTATAGTTTGGAAGAGAATCATTATGCTCTTATTTGGTTGGGGGCAAGCACACCCACTTATTCCCCTTAAGGGAAAAGAGGGGGCAGATAAATTGTAATGAGGATCCAGAGTCCTGGAACTTACCCCCACCTTATATTCCTCCTGGTAATGGAGGGAGTGCAATGACACCGAGTGCCCCTGAGGAACCAAGAACCGCTATTTTACTTGCACAAGGGCGGGAATCCTCCATATCATTTGCAGAAGGGCGGGAAGCCGCCATCTTACCTGTGGAAACGCGAGAGGCCGCCATTTTGTCATCCACTTCTACACACACTCCGGCAAAAGAGTCCAGTGAGTTGCCTTTAGAGTCTAACATTAAATCAACTCCTGGAAATATTGAAGATCCTCTTCCACAGTCACAACTTTACCCCCTCAGAAACACTTGTCTGCAGGTGTAGAAAACGATCGGACCCAGGTCCTGCAGCACGCCCGCTGCTATTCAGCTCCAGAGTACCGAGACCCCTCTGCACCTCGCCCTGCAGCTCTCACCTGCCTCCGGCCGCGATACCCCCACGACCCAGGCAATAGTCGACAGTCTTTTTTTCTGTTCGTCTGGTCCACCGGGGCACCAACTGTGGCTGGGTATCTGTCAAAGGGTCCCGGTCCGAGGGGGGAAGAAGACACACAACACACACGAGGGAGTGAGACAAAGAGATGTCTGCCTGCTCAGTGCAGCAGGCAGCCTTTTATTAGGTTCTCCTACTTCTACTTTCCCACACACACAACACAAACACATTTCCACAAAAACACTGAGTAATGCGGACCTGCACTTCAGCCACACAACTCAAGGCTGTGTCCATGGGAACTATCTAGTTAGCTTCACTGCTCCCATGGAAAACGGCCCAACACTTTGTAACATTCTAAACCCCTCAAACTTCAGTTGTGGGGCTGTGACTTCACCCCACAAAAAGAAGTTAAAATCACTGGAGAAAAAGAAGCAACCAGAGTATTCAACCAAGAGCTTCACCCTGTTACTCTTTTGTTGATATTACCTTTTTGCTTTTTATTCTAATAATCATATTGTATGTTAAAATTTGGATGATTATGAAACAGTCAGCTCACCGATTATCCCCATCAATACTAGATGATGCCCGCAGTATAAAGGCATAAACCCCTCCCAGCCCCTCCAGGAGCCCTCAAATCCCATCCCGGTCCCACAGGACACTCCCAACTTCCCCTCAAACCCTCCAAGGCCCCCAGACTGACTCCAGGACCCAGAAAGCTCTTGCTGCCCATGGAGTGCCCAGCGTGGCCCTCCAACTGCACCACAAAGACAAAGCTTCCAGGCTTTCTTTCCTGGGGATAAGGGCTGTTGTTTCCTGTTTTCAGCCCCACCGTCCAAATGCCAGCCAGACCCCCAAAATTGCATACGGACGAAGAGTTTTCCCACACCGAAGGTGCCAGCAGAGAAAGCTCTTGCTGCTCATGGAGGCCCCAGGCTGGCACACACTCTGCACCACAAAGCCAAAGCTTCCAGTCTTTCTTTCCTGGCGATAAGGGCTGTTGTTTCCTGTTTTCAGCCCTGCCTCCCAACTGCCAGCCCAACTCCCAAAATTGGGGCCCCTTTGCGATGTCACAGCCTATCCTCTCCATTTCAGAATGGCCCCTGGAAAACTGAGAACCAATGCCCAACAATGTCACAGTGCAGCCCCACAGGTGTGCCTTGGCCCCTTTGTGATGTCATAGTCCATTCCTTCCATTCCAGAATGGCCTCAAAAACCAAAGAACCAAGGCCCCACAGTGTCATAAAAAATCCTGAAAAATCAGGACTATGCCTCCTCCAAAACATCATTAATCCTAAAGCATGCTGGAGTTCCTTTTTGCTTCCAGGAATTTTAACCTTTTCCAGGATAACTCTTTGTCGGGGGAATGCATATAGCTCTTCCTCTCCACCATATACCGTCACCCTTGCAGTTCTTTGCCATGCCTGACCTTGCCTTGCCTTGCCTACCACTCTGTTGCCTTACCTTTCCTTGCCTACCTCTCTGTTGCCTTGAAGACTCACCCTTTTCCTTGGTCTTCCTACCCCTGGCTTGCCTTGCATTGCATTATATACCCATCCTCCGCCTAGATTTGCCTACCCTTTTCTTGCCTGGCCTTGTCTGCCCCTCCCTTGCCTTACCTTGCCTTGCCTTGCATATATCTACCTTGCCTGGCCTTGCTTTGCCTGCCCATCTATTGGCTTCCTTGTGTTGCCTACAACAAACCTGCCTTCGTAGGATGTTTTCTACAGATATCCAGCCCAAATTACACTTTTTCATTCCTCATCCTTCATGTCCTCAGCATTAGGGAAAGCACTCAGGTTCATTTCACTGTGGAAATAATTCACGTCAGGTACAAGGCAGCAGCATCACAGACACTGAAACAGTCACAGTGACATCCCTGTCCATCTTTCAGGTACTGTGTCGTTTTTCCCACTCTCATATTCCTCACTGTATTCCTCCTCACACTTTCCAAGAAGTCCAGCCTACCCCATCTGGTTGAGATGAAGGTCTTCATTGCAGCCTGTTTGGTTCCATGGTTTGGATTTGTGACCAAACCACTGTGGATAACTCACCCATGTTTTGGCTCTTGCTGAACAGTTCTGGCATAGGGCTGAGGGTTTTGCTGTTTTTTCCACTTTCCTGCCAGTGAGAAGGGTGGGGGTGGGCCAAAGGGTATGAGGAGACACAGCCAGGACAGCTGGCCCCAAGTCACCAAAGGGATAACCCATAATATATCATAAAATCATGGAATGGTTTGGATTGTAAGGGACCTTAGAGATCATCTCATTCCAACCCCCTGCCACAGGCAGGGACACCTTAAGTGCTCAGAGCCCCATCCAGCCTGGCCTTGAAACACCTGCAGGGATGAGATGTCAACAACTTCTCTGGACAACCTGTGCCAGGGCCTCACCACATTCCCAGTAAGAATTTCTTCCTAACACCTCATCTAAATCTGCCCCCCTATATTTTAAGGCCATTCCCCCTTGTCCTATTACTCCACACCCTTGTGGAAAGGGCCTCTCCAGCCTTCTTGTAAGTCTCCTTTAGGCACCAGAAGGCTTTTCTGTAGCATGACTGCAACATCATGCTTAGCAATGAAAGTTGGGGGAAGAAGGGGGAAGACATTCAGAGGTATGGTGCCGATGCCTAAAAACTATCTGACACAGTTCTACACCTTTTAAAACTCCTCTGGCTGTTAAATAAGACAATGTGACTGCATCACTAAAATAGAGGCTTTATTCTTCAGTCCTTGTCATCCTCAGGTAATGGCAGAAAGGCATGCAATGTTTACATTAAGACATTTTTATCACACTTAGCGCAATGATTTCTAGGCTACAGGAAAAGAGGCATGCAAGGATCTATTTTACACACCATTACATACATCTTTCAAATTTACACACCCTATTCAGACTTTTTAACAACATACAACTATTGCTAAATATATACCGGTATATATTTCATAAGTGGTGTTAACTTTAACAGTCTCTTCTTCCTTATTTTTAACTTTGGTTGCAGGTATTCATCACAGGTATCCTTCAGCTGGAGTTAGCAGCTTCTTTTCTCCCTTTCACAGGCTGCCCAAGGTCGCTTGGTAGATTCCAGCGTTATCTCTGAGGCCTCTGGCTGAGTTGCTGCTTCAGGGCCTCTAACCTGAACACTTGTTTGGTTTCCCACAGTATAGCGTTTTTCTTCCCAATTGACTGTTGCAGTACCGCATGTGAACAAGCTGTCCCACTACATTTCATTTAATCCAGAAGTGTCACAGATGTGGTACAAGCCATGGGGCTGCAGCACCTTCTGCCTGCGATCCACCTCCTCCTGGCTGTGTACATTTGGGCTGCAGTAGCTCAGCTGTGACTCCAGGCTTGGGTGCAGACAGTCACAGGGAAACCTGAGCACTGATCTGACCACAGACTGTTCTACATGGAGCAGTGAGTGCTGGGCTGCAGGTACAGCCCAACCTTCACATCTGTACTGTTCTACAGATTGACCTTCACCCCTGTGTTGTGCGGTGCTGCAGCTACAGCCTGACCTATCCGTTGTTGCAATGCTCTTCAATAGCCTAACTCTTGGGTACCTGTGCATCCATATGACGGACTTTTATAGCCAGCCCCCCCCACCCCCCCGGGTTAACAACCCCCTCTGGAGTACGAATAACAGGTTGGCACTGTTATTATTATATAATGATATATAATAATATTATATATTATAGTATAGTATATATCACCGTTGTTTTGTTGTTGTCGTTGTTGTTCTTGTTGTTGTTGCTGTTTCAAAGGGAAAGGTTTGTATTTGAAAGGGAGTTTGCGGACAGGTTACCCTTTAAGTCGTTTCGACATTTAGACTGGCCAGACACAGCAATACCTGTTAAAGAAAAAACTCTTATTTTGGGAAGAGGCGAGCATCTGGCTTCTGCGTTTTGGCTTGGTTTTGATGCTTTTGAGTTGTTTTTTAACTTGGAATCCCGTGAGGGCGCCCGGGGCGGCGGGGGTGGGAGTGGGGGTTGCGGCGGGCGCGCGTTGGCGGAGCGGGTAAAGGCCGGGGCGCGCGGGGGCTGCTCGGGCGGGCGGCAGGTGAGGGCGGAGGGGTGTGTCTCGTGTGGAGGTACCGCCGCCGGGGGGTTGGGGGTCCCCGAGGTGTGGGGAGCGGGTTTGGGGGTCCCTGGGGCTCAGGGGAGTGGCCAGCGGCGCCTCTGCCCTGCCCCTGCCTGCGCCGGGCCGCCCGTGCCCGCCTGTTCCTTGGGTTCCGGAGGAGGGTGTTGTCCCGGGAGGGCACAGACGGGGGTTGTTACCCCCGGGAGTTGTTACCCTCGGGAGTTGTTACCCTGGAGTGTGGCACAAAGGGAGTTGTTGCCCCCGGGGGATGGACTGGGAGACAGGGCTTTATACCTTTCTCCTGCAGTCCCAAAACAGGAGCTTTAGGCATAATAAATCATAACTTTCAGGAATGGACTTCCTCAAACCATCCTCTCAGTCCTTGCAGTGAAATTCCAGGATCTGTCAGCAGAGCCCGTGAAATGTGCCCAAAGTTTGATTGCCTGAGGCATAAGGAACAAGAACTGAGGTGGTCTTTGCTCTGTTTTCTTCAGCAGACATGAAGGTCGTCCCCTGTGAAACACTGGGGCAGAATAAGGAGCCTGTTTACAGCTTAGCTTTCCAGCAGGGAACAGATGGGAGGATGAATGGCCTGGCCTTGGCAGGGGTGGACACAGGCATGAGAGTGAGCTCCACCTTTTTTGTGGGGTCTTGTAGCATGTGCAGAGCACGGGGTGGCTCGTTCTCCAAAGTATTGGGTTGCTGGCAGGTCACCAGCACCAGTGGCAGATGGTTTAGGGAAAGAGGATTGAGATTGTACACATGTCTACAGAATTATAGAGTGGTCTGGGTTGGAAGAGACTTGAAAGATCATCCAGTTCCTACCCGCCACCATAGGCAGAGACACCTTCCATTAGACCAAGTTGCTCCAAGCCCCATCCAGCCTGGCCTTGAACACCTCCAGGGATGGTGCATCCACAGCTTCTCTGGGCAACTTGTACCAGTGCACCACAACCCTCACAGAGAAGAATTTCTTCCTAATATCTAATGTAAGCCTGCTCTTCTTCAGCTTAAAACCATTGTCCCTTGTCCTGTGACGATCTGTCCCTGTAAAAAGTCCTTCTCCTACCTCTGGAGATTTTCAAGAGGGTCCTAAGCACCCTGATCTGAGTTAGCCCTGCTTTGAATGTTTGGCAGGGAGAGTGAAGAAGGAGATGGATAATTTCCACAGACCCCTTTCAATCTTCAAGAAGAGATTTACCCACATGAGAAATTATCTGCCAGCACTGCATTTTATTTTTCCTTCTAGCACTTGACTTGTGGTTCCTAAAAGAATTAGCAAATCTATGCAGGACTTGGAAGTAACTTCCCCCACAAGTTGGTTTGGATCTGACAGCACTGTGAAAACTGGTTCCTGGAGATGAGGGTGCAAGGAAGTGTTCCAGAGAATTTTCCTTTGAAAGGAATCGGATCAGGAAGAGGACAAAGCAAGGACATCTAGGAAAGAAAGCAAAAAAA